CTCTAGACGAACGAGAGCCACCATTCAAAACTCTCCTGTCTCAGAGCACCTGAGGGATTTGTGAAAATATCCTGTAAGTAAGGTGCGCGACAAAACTGCCATACGACACCAGAGACCAGGGGAAATTACTAGAAGTCCAAGTCCACGTAAAAAAATCCCAGCCCTTACTGGGAATTAAACCCGGAACCTCTAGCACTTGAGGCAGACACCATACCTCAAGACTATGCAGCCCCCTACATTATCTGTGAGAAGGAACAGCTCTGATACATCCTATATATTCCCTCCATCTCACTTTAACTAGTGGGAATTGAACCAAAGCAATTGTCTAGGTTTAATTCAGCCTTGAAAAATTGTTGGCAGATACTTTTTAGAACTATCTGGTAGTATCTGGGAAGTAAAAGTAGCAAGGATATCCCACATCAGTGACCTAATTTTTGAAGTCCCAATATTTCATACACCTATAGAAATGACCTCTACCCATATTTAAATTCAGCTTATATTTTTCTACAGTTAAATGATAATTCTTACAATTATAACACATATCATTATTATATATGACAATGCAGGCAGGCATCCAACCATGAATCCCCTTCTCCCCCCCCCCCCCTTTTTTTTCCAACCACCACACACACATACACACAAACACATGCGCGCACACATACACACAAAATGCCACAAACCTGTCTCTGATTCAAACTGTATAGCAAGGTTTTATTTTCATCAGTCGGGTGAGGCAAAACTACATCTGGCTCAACTGGGACAGAAAGGGCCTCATGGGTGTCCAGTTCATCTTGGGTGATGTAGATCTTCTTGGCTGAAACATCTGTAAACAGCAGCTGCATTTTGGGAAGAAAAAAAAACACTGTATAGACTAATATCTTCTAAACAAAAGATTACTAACTGAAGAGGAGAAAAGAACGGAAACCATGCAACCAAAGATGCATGTTATAAAAGACAATTAAGAAGGGTTAGCTTTTGACTAACTCATCCCATTTACTAATTTAGTTGCAATATCCAATCAAACAAGTAAAATTCATGTGGTTAGTTGGCTGACAGCCTATGCTTCACTGGGAGATAAAAGGCAGAAGATGAGAAGAACAAGTGGAACAATGCTTGCAAGTTTAGATGTAGCTATTCTTAGCATTCCCTGGCAGTAAATTCTGGTTATTTGTCCACTTCCGTACTTTAGTCTTGATCTAGAACTTGAGTTTTGTGCGCACATCCGTCTTACAGATCTGGTTTATCTGTATGCAGACTGTTAGTTTTGGCTTTGAAGGAAACATCCCCAATTAGTCGCCTTCTACGTGGCGCGGTGATTTCGGTCACAGGCATGAGGCCAAGTTAAGTCTGATGTGAGGTGTATAAGGAGATACTCCGTACCCCACTCGGGCGCCAGTCCTTCACTATATTGGTTTTACGGAACCTCATGCAAGACTCCTGCTGCACGTCCCAGTCGTGCGCCACGGACAATGTCTCAAATGAGCATTAACAGAGTTGGCAGGGGATCTCGGAGCTGGCGGCCCCTAGAGGTGTAGTGTCCTTTCTGGCTCTCACCAGCCTGCCCCCAAACACATGGGTGAAAAGCCTAACAAAACTCAAGGATTGCTTGCTAAATGTACCATCAAATGACAACTCTTGGTTAAAATTCGGAAGCGAATGGAAAACTGTGCTGCTGAGACTCAACCCTGACCGAGAGATTTACCCGCAGCCAAGACGAGTAACATCTCTTGTGGGTGACTTCTCGCAGCAAGATCCTACCTACGTACATCCTCAATCCTCAGTGTCGTCGTCACCGCGCTGAGGTACACCACGGCAGCAACTTTTCATATGCTGGCTTGGAAATAATGTCCGACAAAGTTATACCCCAAAGTACACATGCAAGCTCAAAGTCCGACGATCATAATTCGTACCGATTAGGAAAATGTCCGAATGTCCGTATCCACTGGTCCAACTCGCCCGAGTGTTGGGACCAAACAGGTGAAGCCACGCCTGACGCATTTTGCTTCCCCATTCTGTCGTGCTAAGGGCACAGCTGAAACAACGTTAAAGGTGTCTAACGTAAGATGAAAAAAGAATGTACCTATTTGTGTGGCCACAAACGTCCTAGACCTGCGGGCTGCTCCCCGCTGATCTCCGGAGAGCGCAGCCTTGTAGCGCGGAAAGCTCAATACACGGTTGTGAGGTTAAGCAGTCATGGGCAGGACGTGACGATTCCTTGGGTGAGCCCAGAACCAGAGCATCATGTGTCGGCTCTGCATTTATGGAAGCCTCCTTGGATGGCGGGGAATGCCCATGATCTGCCCCTGCCTTCCCTTGAGGGCTGACAATTCTACATAGAGCTACCTTAAGGACGACATTCCGGGGGCCACACCTGTTAATGGTCAAAGAGGACACCAGACAAATGAGGCAACATCTCAACCCACACAAAACAATGGCCACAGTCAACCTAGAAATAGGCTTGACGTCTTCCCTCGAAGTCGGAGTACATCTGCCGGAGAGGCGGGGAACGAGAACTGCGAACAAATAAGCCAGTAAAACGGATGTACACGCAAAACTCAGATCAAGGTAAAAGCCAAAAGTCCATTTTGGACGAACAACCGCGACTTACCGCCGGAATTCACAGCCGGTGAACAAGAAGAAGAAGAAGAAGAAAGTCGCCTTCTACAACATTCTTGTAAGGGGGAAGTCGGTCTAATCTTTGTTCTCCCAAAAAAAGCCCTGAAGCCCATATAGGGAGGTGTACAAAATAGATGATTAAGTCGCCAGCTGTGTAGCCCAAAGTGTCTGTCAGGATCTTGATGATGATGGTAGATGCTGTGGCCTAAATATACATAAAGGTTTAGGTCTCATGCCCTAACAGCAGATTTTTCTTTTCGTCTACCAGCAATAAGTGTCTAACATATTATATTATGAGGCAGTTTTCATTCCTTTTTTCTGTGTTTATGTGCCAAATTATTTTTCAATGCTCTAAAGGAAAGTAGGATGGGCCTTTTTTCTGCCAAGGGACATTTTGATATTTATAACATCAATCATGGGCCAAACAAAATTATAAACTAAAAAAAATTAGCCTGTCATATTTGATCAAACTTTTCATATGACTGTTTTGGAAATGACAAACTAAATGATTAAGGAGGTTACATAAGCCTCATGGCCCAACTTTCCCTAAAAATGATATAGAGTCAAGTCTCATCTGCTGTGTTTGCTTACTGGTGCCATTAGTCACTGCCTTAATTGTGAGCTAGACTTCCAGTTTAGAAATGGCAGCGTGAAGACGTGCTTGCGGCACACAATTTTATTTTAAAAATTTTCACTTAATCAGTGTTTTTTTTTTTTTATAACAGAGTGCGATTATTACTAATTCATTGATGATGGATATTTTCTTGTTCATGGATACAGGTATTCTGTGGTTTAGGGGTGTTATAATGAAATTAATTCCACAAAATAGCCACGGCAGCGGCCGTGTCCTAATATCGATAATGTAACCGTGTAGGAGCCACGCTCCTATTATAAACATGGGAGTCCACGGGTAAGACCCCAGTCTACTCTAGCAAAACAAGGTGCTGAATTCGGAGGCAACCAGTCAGGAAGCGCACCACAGCAATCAGGATGCCACGCACAAACGCAACAGGGAATATTTCTATATCTGCTAATAAGTTTGATTTCCACCATGAGACCCACTCACGTACACGTGGTTCGATTTACCGGCCTAAGACAAGTAGAAAGAGTCCAGCTTCAAATACTCGAAGCCTCCCCCGTAGAACCAGAAAAGCAGAAAATACAGCTAGTCTTAAAATAATGCACTGGAACGCGGAGGGAGTAAATACTAAGAAATTAGAATTAGAAAACGTCTTGAACGAAGAGAATATACATGTATGCTGCCTTCAAGAGACGTATCTTAAACAAGATATGGCCTTCAAGGTCAGAGGCTACCAGTGTTTCCGATCTGACCGCAAAGACAGGAAAAAAGGTGGAATTCTTACCCTGGTCAAAAATAACATCCTTGCGGGCCAGATCGAAACATACATGGAAGGTGCTGAGTATCAAACTCTTGAGCTCAAGTTAGAAAATACAGATTTACATCTGACCAACTATTACTGTCCGAGCGACCGCCCTCAGGCACTGGATACAGTACTAGTAAATGAAAAAATGATCATTTGCAGGGATTTCAATAGCCACTCCCAAAGTTGGGGCTATGATCACATGGATCAGAGAGGAGAGAAACTGGAGGACTGGCAGGATGAGAATAGGTTCATCCTCGTTAATAAGCCAACCGACCCACCAACCTTCTACTCAAGAGCCTGGCATACCACCTCGACACCAGACCTAGCCTTTCACTCAGCAGACATGGAACTGAATGTTACCAGAACTGTTGGGAAGCAACTAGGAGGCAGTGACCACCGGCCAGTCTTTCTAACTATAGAAAGCCAGTCTGTAAGAGAGAGCAGCACACTGCCAAGGTGGAATTTTAAGAAGGCAGACTGGAAGTTGTATCAGCTTCGCACAAATGTTCTGCTGGAAAATCTGAACACAGATAACGACGTAGAAAAAGTAGTCCAAGAGTTGAGCAAACGCATGCTGCAGGCAGCGCTAGAAGCAGTTCCAAGAGGTGCTCGTAAACAATATAAACCGTACTGGAATTGCGATCTGGAGCAACTGCACAACAATATGGAAACAGAAAGAAAACAAGCTGAGACCAGACCTTGTCAGGAGCAGTTCAACAACTACCAACATTCAAAGGCCAAATTCCAAAGAGCCAAACTGCAGGCTAGACGGACAAGCTGGCAGGAAAAGACAAAGTCTCTACACTTTGAAAGAGACACAAGGAAGTTGTGGAGGTTAATTAAACAAATTAATGATGAGAATACAGGAAGAAATGGTAATATTGCACTATGCAAAGAGGGAGCCATCCTAACAAGAAAACAGGCAGCTTACCACTTTGCAGATTCTTTTGCAGAAGACAGCAACATTAATGTCAGCCCAGACAAACAGCGAGAGGTTCGAGAGAACAAACAGCATACAAGACAAAATGATATAATTCCTGAGGCACTGGTGGCAGCATTTACATCTAGCGAGTTAGAGCTAGCAATATCAAAGCTGAGAATGGGAAAATCACCTGGAATTGATGGTATCACCAACGAAATGATCAAGAACCTTGGAACAACTGCCAAAATAAAGCTGCTACAGATCTTTAATCATTGTTGGACCAGTGGCAAAGTTCCTCAGATATGGAGAGAAGCAATTACAATACCTCTGCTTAAACCAGGAAAGGACAGTTCTGATGCCTCCAGCTATAGACCGATGTCTTACCAGTTGCCTCTGTAAAACAATGGAACGTATTGTCAACTTTAGACTCCAATGGTACTTGGAAAGTGAAAACATTTTCATGCCGCAGCAGGCAGGATTTAGACAGTGCTACTCCACAGAAGACTAGACAACTTACCTTTCACAAGAAATTGAGGATGCCTTCCAGGAAAAGAAGCTAGTGTTAACAGCATGGATAGATCTGAAGAAAGCCTTTGACAAGGTCTGGAAAGAAGGTCTACTGAAGAAACTGAGAGACTGCAGGGTGAATGGGAGTATGTACAAATAAGTGAAAGCATACTTGTATAACAGAAGAGCCCGAGTACAGATAGATAGACTTAAGAGTAAGAAAGTTTTGCTGCGCCATGGCGTACCACAAGGAGGTGTCCTGTCCCCCACACTCTTCCTAGTCTATATCAATGACTTGCTTTCTGAACTACACCATGGAATTAAAGCTGCAATGTATGCTGATGACTTGGTACTCTGGTGTTCAAATGAACATGCAACAGTGGCCACCAGACTGCTACAAAGAGCCATAGATGCAATGGCTAAATGGGCCAACAAATGGTGTGTCAGCATCAACGTTAGGCAAATGCAGCACCACCCTCTTCACCCTTTCTCCTAAACAAAATTCAGGCGTCATACAAATAAATGGAGTACCCCTGAGAGAGGATAAGGAGCCCACATACCTCGGAGTAATGTTTGATGATAGGTTAACATGGAGAAAACACATCAACAGGGCAACAACCAAAGCCAGAAGGAGGGTAGCAATTCTGAGAAAACTAAATGGAATCACATGGGGTGCTAGCGGGAAAATACTTAGGAAAGTTTAACAACAAAGTGTTCAACCACATCTTGAATACGGATCAACAACATGGAGTTCGGCATCAAAAACCACATTGCAAGAATCAGACAAAGTGCAAAATCAAGCACTCAAAGCTACCACAGGCAATATGAAAACAACACCTATAGCTGTGATGGAAAATAGGGATGACCCAAGCACTGAGTGAACGCAGAGACACCAAGATGCTTTTACAAGCAGAAAAGTTTCTTAGTGTGCCCAGTCGGCCTATGAATGAAAGATTCAAAAATTTAGCTTTGGGACGACTAAAGAGAAGTAGTTTTATCCACCAGGACAAACGGCTCGGCAGACAAACCACTGATTTGCCTGCAACTGATAGATCCTTAAATGCTGTCCCAGAACGGACCCCTGGAGAGAGGAGTAAAAGTTTCCAATACACATCAAGACTGAAGTGAAAGGGGTATTCGACATGGAAGAACAAAACAGTGTGCAGCGCAAAACAGCCACCCTGAGTCTACTTGATGATGAATACCCACATAATCTTTGGGTCCGTGTTTACACAGATGGGTCAGCAGAAAGCGCAGTCAGAAACGGAGGTGCAGGAGTGTAAATTGAGTATCCTAATAATACCAGGGATACAGCCAAAATACCAACAGGAAAGCACTGTCACAACTATGATGCAGAAGTTCAAGCCATCAAGATAGCGGCAGAGAAACTACTAAATACAGAGTATTTTTCACAACCAGTAGTATTCCTGACAGATGCAAAAGCGGTAGGTACTTCAGTCACTCCAATCTGGAAAATTACCAAGCATATGGACACTATTATCCGAACTAGGCAACTGTTGTAATTTAGTAATGCAGTGGATACCTTCCCACTGTGGAGTTCCCGGAAACGAAAGAGCTGATAAACTGACTAAGGAAGGTGCAACTGAAGAACAACCTGACATACCAGTCTCTTATCAACAGAAGAAGAGAATAATCAAATCAATCAGAATGCCACCAAAACAGGCACAAGACGATTACCATATTATGGACAGACTAGAGCAAGTCATTATCCTTCGCCTTAAAACAGGGCACAATCGACTTCGCTGCCACATGTACAACAAATTTAAGATTGGCCAATCAGCCATGTGTATTTGTGGACTGGCACCTGAAACAACAGATTACATCCTTCAAGACTGTCCCAGATTCAGCGCTTTCAGGCAAAACCTTTGGCCAAAAGAGACACTTGTGGAAGTCAAACTTTACGGGCCGCTTAGTGAATTACAAAAGACAGTGAAATTCATACTAGAGACAGCACTGCAGATATAGATAATTTATTTCATGCGAACGAAAGAAGAAGAAGAATTGTGAGCTCTGTTAGTGTGAGCTCTGATACATTCACAATGCACAAGATGCATCATCTCTACACTTCTACTCCTTCAATATTCTGAACCCTTGAGGTTCAATGCTGCAGAAATCACACATCTCTTTTTATCTCTCTGACTGGCCTTCTATTTCCAGCTGGTGACTCCAAGCATTTGTAGATCTGCCTAGTATTATCTCTTCACTGTCTTCCTCGCCTGCCTTGTGTGATCTCTTCCCACTCTTTTGTGTACACAGTTTTGTGTCTGTTATCTTTACACAACACTGCTAATAATTCATTTTTCTTTTCTTGTCATCTCTCGTCTCTGTCTTCCATTACCCAGTAAAAGCAATAACTATATCCATGCCCAGAGACATGACTTCTTACATTACCTTTTTCTCATTCTGTGCAAAAGTATAGAAGTAAGATATTTTAGCTCCTGGTCCAAGGTATATTTCTTTAAAACTGGTCCCATAATTGTCAGATCTGCCAGACATAGATAGCAAAAATATATTCAGGTTGAAAATGTCTTACTGTTCATATTTCTGCTTTTATGTTTATGAATCTTTTTTCTACTAGGCATTCACATGCTGTAAACTCTGGCAGAAAGTTCTGGTTATTCATCGACCCTGGACTTTGGTCTTGTTCCAGAACTTGAGCATGTGCACAACCATTTTTACCCACCCACTCCCTATTTTTACAATATGCTTATCAGGGTGGTAGTGGGTGTATTCCTCACCCCCTTCCTAAAATAGGGCCTTGGTACCCACACCAGGAACACATATCCAACTCCCACTCCCTAGATCCCACACAGGGAATGTTTATGAACAAAAACTGTGAAATCCCAATAGCATGCACGCAACATTTTCAGTGGCAAGGACCACATCATATCTTCATAGGTTCCTTCCTAGAAGCCCAATGAAGGCAAGAGGCATTGATTATACATCTCACTTTACTACCCCTTGGGCCTCTAATGCTAAACCCCCTGGGAATGAAAGAACTAAATGTATCGTGTAATAGAATATGAAATGGATATGACATTTATTACATAAACATGAAGTTAGCAGTTAGCTTAAGTTTTTACCTCCATAGCTGACTTTCCACCACACTTCTTGATCCATCGCTGGTGTTTTGAGTACATGTAAGAATAACAATACGCTGTGGAGAATAAGAAAGAATATTATTTTTTGTAAAGAAATGAATGTATAGGGAATAAGAAGGAATATTATTGTATTTGTGAAAGAAATGTATGTACATGGAATAAGAAGTAATATTATTGTATTTGTGAAAGAAATGAATGTATAGGGAATAAGAAGTAATATTATTGTATTTGTGAAAGAAATGAATGTATAGGGAATAAGAAGGAATATTATTGTATTTGTGAAAGAAATGAATGTATAGGGAATAAGAAGTAATATTATTGTATTCGCAAAAGAAATGTATGTACATGGAATAAGAAGGAATATTATTGTATCTGTGAAAGAAATGTGTGTATTTTATTGCATTATCTGACATTTTCCTTCCTGCATACAATAAAAACAAAGAAGAAATTAAAACCTTGAAAAGTTTGGACAAAGAAGAGACAAACAAAAGACTGCACAACTTATTGCCTTACTTTTAGGCTTAAGACAGGACAATGCAGTCTTAGAGCACATACACACAGGATATGCATAAAAGAACTTGCTGCCTGTGATTGAGGTTCAGACAGACAGACTCCTCGGGATACACTGCATGACTGCCCTAACTACTCCCAGCAAATGTTGTGGATCTGGCCCAATGGAGCCACACTAAAGAGAAGCTGTGAGGGTCTGACTTGGATCTATCCCCCTGTCTGTGACCCAGATGGACTGAATGTAAATATCAAGCACAACAGGTTTAAAAAAAAAAAACAACAATACTTCACCAAGAGAGAATGTTTTACTTCACACTAATTATGACAAAATATCTGCTGTAATGGATGCATTGCAGGACAATTAATTATCTAAACTGAATAAACACATACTGAAAAACTAGAAGGATGGGGAATAAATGAAGCATTAACATTAAAAAAATATGCTATGCCAATAAGCATGGACAGATGTAGTTCACCACCTCACACATTAAACTGTCTTGAATAGGGCTGTGTACCTGTTCCAATTATGTCACGTGGTTGTCTTTACCTGAAAGGACTGCAGGTTACACCTGGCTGGTGTAGTCACTGAGAGTGCCATAATTATAACTTCTCTGGGAGCTGAACAGGGTATCTGAGATGTGCTATGGTGGTCTGCCTTACAGACTGAGAATTGTTAATCTTCAGACGTTAGGTAGCAGCCTGGAGGGAACAAACCGGTCAACTGATACAATGTCGTCAAGCCATCCCGGTTTATTTTTCCCTTTGCATTCCTCTTTTTTCCACATCAAATTTGCCAGCAGTCAGCAAGTTTTCAAGTTAAATGCATTTAATTTTTGTTGGGGGTGGGGGGGGGGGTGGGGGGTGGGGGAGGGCGTTTTTAAGTTAATTTAACTCCCCATGGGGGTGGGCTGCAGAAGATGTGTGCATCCACTGGGGACGATGCCAGAATTTCTTACACTGTGCGACTCTCCTATCCATCTGAAAGCCAAGAGAACTGTCTTCAAGACTTATATTTAATTAATATGTTTTCTGGTATGTTAATTGTGTTTTTTTCCACTGAGTAGTGCAAATATTATATCCTCTAGTGGCTTCTGGAGTGTAAAGTGCTATCTTCTTAGCATTCACTGACTGTAAACTCTGATGGGAAGTTCTGGTTGTTCATCCACTCCTAGCCTTTGGTCTTGATTCAGAACTTGAGTTTTGCATGCAAATCGGTTTAACAGATGTGGCTTATCCGTATGCAGACTGTTATGTTATGTCGTTACATTATGTTATCACAATCGATGTTACTGCACATTAGGTATTCCCACCTGTGCTCAGTCCTTTGTTGCAGCAGCCATTGCAAAGTACTTCTACTAATTGTTTCCATGAGAAGTTGGTTTGAATGTCTCCTATCTCAGCCTCAAAGGGGGCATTGACTTGCTTCATCATGCTTTACTCTCAAGTCTCACAATCATGTTAGTGTCAGAGATTCGTCATTATCCACTAGCCAGGTCCGTACAGAGTTGATGACATCTGCGCTGTCTATGCTTCTTCCCACATGCGTTAGTTCATAGCTTGCCAGGTGGTCTGCTCCCTGTGATCAGGTGTGTAGATCCAGGTGAGGGAGGTTAAGTGTGATTCTTGAATGCTTTCTACCCACTGAGCGCACATCGCCTGTTGCTATCTTATGAAGCATTTTCACAGAATCTGATATAATTACTGCCTGTGTGGCTCTTTGCTCAGATACCCATGGTAGTGCTCTAGAGGCAGCAGCTATCTCCATGGTCATGCTTGATGTGGTTGTCTGCTAAGCGCCACTGTCCTCTTGTATTGTTTCCCCCCTTCTTTACACTGTGTATACTGACCTTGATCCCCACTTTATGGATCTATCTGTATAGATGATGATATCTTCTGGGTGTGAATGCTGATCTATCAGTGCCCTTACATCTGTGTCCACAGCTGCAATAATCTGATTCGTGCAGTATCTTCTCAGTGGGATAACCTTAGAGATGCTACGCATGTCTACTGGTGTATTCATCCATTCTTATCTGTGACTGATCTCGTCTAAGTCACATCAGAAGTCAAAACTCTCATTAGGAGAAAATCAGAAACAGATTGGAAAACCAACACTGGTTATAACTACGAAAAAGATTTTCTGAAACACTTGAACAGAACAGACCAAGTCACAGTTTTTCCCTTATGTACTGGACACTGCAGACTTAACAAACACTCATATAAATTAGGTATGAGCCAAACAGCTCTCTGCCAGCTCTCTGTCCTGCAAGACTGTCCTCTCCTGGTGGAGCTGTGGAGCAATATATGGCAACACCCAGTAGAACTGACAACTAAGCTTTGGGGAAACCTAAGAGACCTTGAAAAGACATCCCAGTTTATGACCCACAGTGGATTATGCGCATGACCAGAGATCGCTGAAGAAGAAGAAGCCTAAGTCACATAACTGCTGAATTAAATCTTCAGCCATCCAGGAGCAGCCTCTTTTGAGACGCATCCCTTTTATGTCATGTATAGCTTTGTGCAGTGGGTGGTTAACGTCTGCCGATACCCTCATGTAGGCCTTGACCTGTGCAACTTTCAGTCTGACAGCCACTGTCAGCAAACCCAGGACACATGCCTTAAACAATCTCTAAAGTGGAGTCACAGTAGTGCCAACTGTTGATTTAGACTTAGATAACGTGTAATTATTTTGTGCAAATCCTACCTCCACGAACCTTGCTCATTCATAACTTGAAAGGCTAACATGCCACCAGTGAGGTCAATTAGTGATTAGTGAGGACATCCCAAGAATCCAGACAGATCCATGGGAGCTCTAATCTCTGTTGCTGAAGTTGCAACCTTCAACAATGTGACATCATCATCTGTTGTGCTATTATATGTCAGACAGTGCTCATTGTCTACTCTTCGATTCCATTCTATCCTGTACAATCCTCTCAATATCATGGATGTAATCAAGTCCGACACCTTCAGAATCTCTCAGAAATGTTCATCTTAGGGTTTATCTTGGACGTCTGCACTTGCTCAATCCATTAGTTTTCTATTTCAGTACCTGTCTGGTGATTCCCTGCTTCTCCTCATTTATATGACAGAAACAAGATATATTCAGACATTTCATTACCAATTATTTACATTACCAACAATAATATAGGAATATCTTGAATTATCTTATAGTTTAAAAAAATTATCACATGTATTTAATAACACAAAAAATTGACATCTAAATTTCTGCAAGCTACCTCACTAGTTCCTTTGCCAATCCAGTGAATGAATGCCTGATTAGCTTTCTGTGTGCCGTTCAACACAAACGGATGCACCTCGATTTCAACATTGCCTCCTGGAATAACGGTTGATTTACCTAATTTGCTTGGAGCTGTAGTGGTAGATTTGGCTGCAGCGGAACTCTGGACTGTTTTAGGAGTCGTTCCGGTAGCAGACGAGTGTGCTGTTTTAGAACTATGGACAGCTGAAGTAGTAGTACTAGCAGTGGTCGCCCCATTACCAGCAGTCTCTGAATTTCTCCTTAGTCTACCGCTACTTCTTGCAATTTCTATCACGCCATTGTTAATGCTGACTGAATGTAACGTTTGTCTGCTGGAATATTTGTTGTTGGGAGAAAATATAGCACAATCGACTGCTATTAGTATTATACTGAAGATCACGCAAAAGATACATCTTGGAAGCAACATCCTGGTTGCTGTAGACTGCGCATTGACTGTTGTGTTGTGATTGACGGCCGACCGACAGGATTAGGACCCTGTGTTTCTGGTAGCAGAACCAAACGGTTTCATTGGCTGTTCCGTCAGTTCACAATAAATTTGTTTCATGTTACGTACCATATATATTGGTCCACAGATATCGCTTTAATTATCCAATATAAATAACCCCCCCCCCCCTTTCTTTTTTTTTTTACACCATAAAGAGAGGCATCCGGAGGCTTGAGATCCCATATCCTAGCCCCTATGTGAAAAAATTTCCCACAAATTCCCGCCATTGCCCTAGAAGCCAGGAAATTATTTTCACTTTGTTTAATAAATGGATCAATATTATGGCACACGGGTGTAACACATAAGTGCTCCATTCTATTTCTAACTCAAGCCAGAGTCTGAAATATCTCAGCGCAATGCACAAACTCCGTTGCACTGGCGAGGATCCTGAAATACTCTGGGAATATTTTTAATTCCAAATTTTGCCTGGGCAGCGCCGTTAAGCTACTCTTTTTCGATTTCCAGCTGACAAGGTATTTTTTAAACGTGCTCAACAATACACACAGGCGTCCGGTTTTACAACCCAGAGACCAGGCGAAATTGCTAGAAGTCGACGTGAAAAAATCCCAGCCTTCACCGGAGTTTAAACACTGGACCTCCAGCACTCTAGGCGGATACCATACCTCGAGACCACTTAGATCAATTATTTTTACTAATAACACAAACGGTCAGACACCAAGCACTGGCAATGTTGTTATTGTTCTGGACTAGGATAAACGTGGACATGAAGGAACAATTAAGTTAACGCAGGCGGTTTATTATTTTTTATTTTAGTACTTATCTCAGAACTGACATTATACCATTTCTACATTCCTATAAGCGCTCCATTTTTATGTCTGAAGTTATGTGAAGTCGCTGAATTCATGCTTCAAATAAATTAGGCTTCATTAAACGAGGTTACGCTAAATATTGGGGGCGGGGGCCTCAGCCCCTGCTTAATTATTGGGGGGGGGGGAGGCGGCCTTGATGGACCTGAGCCTCCAGGTTTCGGAGCCTATGTTATCCTAGTCTTTGGTGAGGAGATCTAGGTATTTAGAAAGTTGAAGTCTCTGGAAATGTGGATGTAGACGTGGAAACAATTTAAGCTATCTTCTCCGGCTGTAATATCCGGTTGAAAGTTTTTGGTGGGTCGTCCACTACTGAACTATAGATTTGCTCCAGAAATTGAGTTTTGCATACGCATACGTTTTACTATCTGGCTTATTTGTATGCAGGCTGTTGGTGCCTAGTCTTTCGGGCAGATGCACCCCAACTTAAAAGGAAACACGTCTAAATAGTCGGTTTTTACGAAATGCTTGTTAGGTAGCAGTATGCCTATTCTCTCCCCCCCCCCTTTTCCCCCCCCCCCCCCACACACACACCCACACAACGAGGCTCCCGGAACCCACACGTGGAAAATTATATTCCAGAAGGCAAATGCTGTCATCTCAGCTAGCTCAACTACTTAGACATCTAAATTATCTCCCTTCTAGAAAGACAGAAAATGTTTATCTTCATCCCGACTTTATGATATCAGTGTCAAAAATGGACATTAAATAGATCATAGGACCTGAACATTACTTCTTGTGAAATGCACAGTCACCAACAACAACAGAAGGAACAGGTCACGAATACCAGCCTTGGAGGGATAGTTCTAACATGACCGTAAATTACACCGAAAGACGGAGAATGGGGCGATTTGGCCGTCTAATAAAATGTAGCTGGGCTAAACTTTATTTTAGACCTACGGCAAAAAATGTGAGTGGAAGGCGACAGGAAGACAAACGAAGAGATAGGTAGACGATATAACTGAATCCTGTATAGTGTAAAATAATAATTAAAACCAGCATACAGGTCACCCGAGAAGCGCAAGTAAAATACAGAAAACTGTCATACTGTGCTACAACCCGTTTCAAGTGTGAAAACATCAGAAGGGTGAGTGGTTCAGACAAAACAGCGATTGAAAACATAAAGAGCTACACCAGTGTAAAGTTTAGTACAGACATTGAAGACACCCTGAGCAAAAAATACACAACGCAAAACCTCTAGACCAGCTCCCGAAGTGTAGTGACTAGACAACGCTAGCCTGACAATGCGAAAATTGTTGTTTCAAAACGAACGGTGCTGGACTTTTTTTTCCCAAAAGTTGCGTAGGCCTTGAGGTCAACCTAGACTTATTGGGTACGAGGTGAAAGACATGGGAAGTAAAGGAGGCCTGAATGATGCTGACCACATCACTCCCCAACTGGTCTATAGTATTATAGTCTAGCCCTATATGCTTAATTCGCCTGAAGGCATTAAAACGGATCCTTCACGTTTTACAAGAGAGTTGGCGATGGATAGGAAACCTTTCCGAAGAGCCTCCCCTTTCCATTAGGGTTTCCCTCTCCATATATGATTTCTCCGGGACTAACATTTCAAGGATGAGAACTGAACAGCTGAAAATCCCAGAAACCCCGTTCAACCATGTAGCAAAGTTGAATATGGGTACCGCAAAACGAAGTAACCTTTAGTCCAGTGTGTGTGTGTGTTAAATGTTAAAGTTCTGACCAATCCTGTGATATCGAGAGTCCCACCCAGGATGGCAATCCAACATGGTAAGGTTACCTGAACCCGGGGCTAAGTGCTCAGGCATATTGAGCCTCGCTCCCAACAATATTGGGTGCGGGAAAAGGGGGGGGGGGCTTTCAATAATTTGTTAAGGGTGGGCTGATCAACCCCACACCCACGTTTTTGAACTATGTGTAAAAGCTTTCTCTTTAAGTATTTTATGTACATTTTATATTGCTTCAAATACTGCTTATCATTCTATTAGTTTGACATTCGGGCATAATAATAATAAATAATATTATTATGCACTTAATCAAGACTTAGGTTCATGAAACTCTTTCCTGGCCCTTGGAAATGTGTAAGGGTGCTGAGTCCCTCCCCCTCCCACCATCAATGTTTTATTTGTGGCAGCGCCCCTGACCTTTGCAACAATCCCAACAAGCCCGCTCAACTTCGTAAGAAGTTATAACCAAGGAAGCCGTTGAAGCTACACCAAATACTACTCTGATGTCTTCTTCTTCCTTTTCTTCTTCATCTTCCTCTTCTTTTTCTTCATCTCACCGGTTGTAAACTCCGACGGAAAGTTTTGATTGTTCGTTCACTTCTGGATTATAATCCGTTTCCAGAGTGTTGCGTGCACATCCGTCTTTTTTTTTTTTTTTTTAGATTTTGTTCACTTGTTTGCAGATTGTCGGTTCCTGCCTTTCAGACAGATATACTCTGACTTTGAAAGAAGCTCCCATTTAGTCGACGGGAAATTATCGATACCCTGGACGAGAACGCTCACGAGGCGGGGCAAGTGGCACATATAGTGGCCTTCGGGCGTGCCGTTTGAAGTTTTCCTCTCCACTGTTGCATTCTGCAGGATTAACTTCTCAAGGATGAGAATCATACAGCTATAAATGCTGGAAACCGCGTTGAACCATAGGACTATATATATAGGTTATCCTCCGAATAACGGGCGGTAAAGATGGCGGCCGCAAAATATCCTTTCGAGCAGCAGTCACGTGTCAATTGCACAGATTGGGGCTAAACTAGATGGCTAGGACCCACGAGCAGCAGCTTCCGCATCTCCTGCAGCTTTGCTCGTGAGTCCTGGCGATCTAGTTTAGCCCCAATCCACGCCGCGTGAGCCGGAAAACCGCCGGAAGACCGCAAATTAAGTCACGTGACTGAGGCTCGAAAGGATATTTTGCGGCCGCCATCTTTACCACCCGTTATTCTGAAGATAGCATATATATATATATATATATATATATATATATATATATATATATACATATATATATATATATATATATATATATATATATATATACAAATGCCATTTGCCCGCGAGTATATATATATATATATATGTATATATATATATATATATATATATATATATATATATATATATATATATATATATACATGTTTATATAAATATTAATATCCAGAAACTATTAGTTGTTAACCTTTGGCTCGGTACTATGCATACCGCAACCCTTCGGCTTTTCTGCCTACTGCCGTGAAGCCGGACCACAAGGTGTTCGTAACCCATCGCCGCGCAGTCAGGTTTAACCCACTGAGCTAGCGAGCCGGTCAACCAAGGGCCTATAACCATATAATCACAGTTACGAAGTGGTTACGAAGCAACCTGTAGTCTAGAAAGGCTATTCTTCTAAGTTTGAATGTTGAACATGTGGATGCGAGTCAGGAACCCGAGTCTCAGCACATAGATATCACAAATAGAATATAGTTTGCAATGATCCAGGGGCCAATTGCTAGGCTTTTTAGGGCCATGTCGACCGCGTGCCGCCAGTTGAATAGCCCTGTTATAGTTTAATGTCGGTGTTTTGAAACAAAGCTATCTTTAAGACGGCTTTTTGGAGACGGCCTTGGTGACGCTTCAAAGGCCAAAGGTTTTGCTACATCTTGATGATGATAATACCATTTGTGAGAAGAAACTTCCGGGTCACCCATCACGGTAGACAACCTATCTCTCATGGTTTGAACTAAAACTAAAAGGAACGCAATAATGCGAGTACACAAACAGATTTCGTTAACTAATTATGTTTTCAACAGTATCGTTTTAAGAATATTAAAATGTTAAGCTTTTCACAGTGCATGGGACATTTGTTGTTTCATTAATGTATAAACGAGTAATCCAGTAATACTAATATGTTCGGCCCAAGTTCTAGTGCAAGATTCGGTCTTCTACAACGAAGTCCTCCGCAGTCTTCTTCGCAAGTTCAATCTGAAGATGAAGACGAGTCAGGTTATTGCGTGATTTCTGATATAGCGGATGGGGACGACAATAGTAACATGAGTGGAATTCCAAGAAGTGATTCTGCCAGGTCTTTGTCGTCTTTGAACGAGCAGATTGGTCCTGAAGATGTGAGTTTTATTTATAATCTAGACTAGTGACTAAGACGTGTGTTTCTTTTCTAGTTTGTTGTGAGTGCATTCAATCTTTTTCATCAGCCATATTTTGATAAAGCTGATGTTGCATGCATGAATAATTAATCATGGCAGCTGCAGGAAATGCAGTAGCTGCTGCTGGTGAATCTCACCCATTTAGTTTAGCCCCAATCGACGCCGCGTGAGCGGCGTGGGGGATACTCTCGGTGGTGGCGGAAGTGAGCAATTGACACGTGACTGAGGCCCTATAAGGTTATATTTTCTGCCTCGATAATTTGGGACCGTTATTCGGAAGATAGCCACCATTTTTTAGCTCTCCTGTCAACTACGGCCGGTAGACAACAGTAGACGGCCGGTAGACAACAGTAGACGGCTGGTTAGTCGGAGTTCTGTCCCCTGGCTGCAGTGCAATTACGGACTGGACAGGAGGAAACGAAACAAATGACATAATTACTGTGTGTTGGCGATAGACCGCGTGCACTGCCCTGCTATAATCATACGGTTAGGGTTTGGTTTAGGGGTAGGGTTTGGGTTAGGGGTAGGGTGTGGGTTAGGTTTAGTGTTAGGATTAGGGTGTGGGTTAGGGTTACGGGTAGTGTCGCCGCATCTCGTCGTCGCACAAACTCAAAGTAGCAACCCAAACCCTAACCCACACCCTAACCCAAACCCAAACCATATGATGACAGTAGAGCACTGCACGCTGTCTATCGCCAACATTCAGTAATTCTGTCACTTGTATCGTTCCCTCTAATCCACTCCGTAATGCGTCGCAAGAAGCTGTAATTAAACGCGGTCGCTAATTTGAGTCGCAGCGCGGGGTCTGCTAGGCATGTTGACCTCACTTTGTGGTCTGATTCGTGCCTTCTCCAGTCCATAATTGCACTGCAGCCAGGGGACTGAACTCTGACTAACTGGCCGCCTACTGTTGTCTACCGGCCGTAGTTGACAGAAGAGCCAATTTGTTGTATATTGCTTTCTTTGGAGTCCGCTGATAGGGTATTGTGGATATTTACTCTTGGTTTGTTCTGTCTCTCTAAAATTCCTTGTTTGATAATGTAATAAAGATATTTGTTGAAGGAGTAAAAGCTTTTGTACACTGACACTTGATGGACGATGTGTTCAACATCACACCGGTTGCCTTTACATACCAATGCATCACCTGGTATCCATTTGGGGCTTGATAACCCTGGGAGCCAAGATAGGTTTAAAAAAAAACAAAAAACAGCCTCGATGTCGATTTGAGCCCTAAATACTTTTGCTTCTTAAACAAAATGTTTATTCTTTGACAGTTGTTCAGGCTAACGTTTTTTTAAAAATTTAAATTCAGAAAGCTGAAATCACTGACGGTAATAATGTGTACTACTTCAGTTATAAATGTTTGCTGGATATAATATTTGGAGTGGTGTATCAAATGTATGAAAAAGCTGAAGACAATGAAGTTATTGCTGGAGACAATGGAGTTATTGTTAATAAAATAAAATGTTGAAAATTTCATGAACACAGGAGACAAACCCCCACCCCCTCTCTTTTTCCCAAAAATGCTCAGGCATTGACAACCATAAGGAGCAAAAAAATATAGCCTATAAACAGAAAAAAATGGGTTTGGGGGCGGGGGGGGGGGGGGGGGGGGGGGGGGGGTAAAAGTTGACTTAGGTAAGAAATACAGACAAAGACAGAGAAAGATGTACATGGATTAATCAAACAGCTGGGTAGCAATTATTAATACATGCAACATCAGCTTTATCAAAATATATCTGATGAAAAAGATTGAATGGTCACTCACAACAAACCAGAAAAGCAAACATGGAAATGAGATGTTTGTGAAAGCTGTTGAGACAGCTGCAGGAGTAACCAGAGGATATAAAATCATGGATAAATAGAAGAAAATGCTGGCATACTAAATTATATCAAAAACAGCAAATAAAATGGTTTTCCCACTCAAAGAGAATGCCATGTGACACCATACCATACTAAAAGACATACACTGAAAGAGGAAAGGTTCATAGAACACTTGGTAGATTAAGGACAGGATGGAAAAATAATGTTAGAGAAACTGTGCAACAGTAGTGTGTTTAGGACAGTGATAAGAAAGAAAAAACCTCACATCTTCCTTGACACCAGAAGCTGCTTGTGAAAAAGAAGAAGAGATGAATGGGGAATCGTCACCAGTTTCTGCTTTAGAATAACTTGAAGAAGAAGAGGAGCTAGAGGAGAATTTGACCAAACATTATTTGGTTCTTCTTTGCAAACTTTAAAAGTAATGTTTTAAGCTATTTAATTTCTAACTATTTCTGTCTAAAAAATTTATTACTTAAAATAAGCACTTGTTTAGCTCAGACATTGATTTAAAAGAATTGTCTGGGCTAACAGGGGACACAGAAGCAGAAATGATAAAGTATCTTAAAGTAACAAGGACAGAAACAGTTAAAGAAGATCTAGCTCTGAGTATATTAACTTAACAAGTGGCTGGTTCCCCCCGAAAAGTCAATATATTTTTCCTGTAATACAAAACAGACTGCCAGATGTGAACTAAGAAAACTCAGCCTTGATCAACATGGTACTTTCATGGCTGACTTTGACCCAGAAAAGTCACAGAGGGAAATGCGCAAAATGAATAGAAGGATATACAGCAAAGAGTAAGTTCATTTCCTTTTTTTTAAACTAGCTTCTTCGAGTTATGAGTTGGGTTATCTTCACGGCACTCTGGGCACATCCATAGATGCTCAGATTCCTCCTTTAACATAAATGTCAGTGGCCTGCAGTTAATATACTGGTTAACAAGACTTCTTGTATGTCCAATGGGCCTCTCATATTTGTCTGTGCTGATCTTTACTCCCAGTTCTTGTATTCTTAGCAGTGATATGGACGCACTGCTCCCAAAATCCTCGCATCGTCTTATCTCTCTATGTGCATTCCCAGTGTCGGCTCAATCCCTAGGCCGGCTATCTGCAACTAAGGCGGAAACGGCCTGTCTATCATCTTGTTTACTGTCAGCAACACCTGCATACCTTGGTACAAAGATGAAGGTGACTGCACGCATAGGTGAGTTTTGCAATGACTCAATTCGCTGTCTGCGTATGGAGCCTGCCTTGACCTGCCAGATTTAGTTTATAGTTGTAAAAGAGCATAATTAATTGTCCTGGCAGAAAGTTTTTGGTTTTTTAAAATTAACTGGCATTATTGTGTACTTGCAGGGCAAAGAAGAATATTTTATACGATGAAAACGGAATCCATCTGGAAACACTTGCAGATGTTTGCGACTGTCTGGATAAAGGCTGCCCTGGCTGTCACTTTCCCTGTCGCCGCTGTGGCTCACCGAAGTGTGGTGCTGACTGTAGATGTAATCGCAAATACATTGTTGATTTAATTGAAGTTGAAGGAACCAGTACATTCTACCAATAATCTCTTGTGAAATGTTACAGAATCCTCCCTGAATATCCTCTTGTATAGCTCCTTTTTTATTTACAGTAAATAATGAAAAGGACAACTTTAATCTTATACTGTCTTCTGTCCCACAGCCACATTTATTGTTTGCAGCAGTGCATAGGTTCATTGTCCAGATTTTCCACTGCTTCGTGTGTGCATAAATAAATGTTTGGCAATAACATAGTCTAGGCATTCTTTTCTGGTATCAGTTGAAGATTTCTCCTGTCTACCTCTGTTGTGCTAATCGTTTATAACTATACCCTGAAATTTGTCATATTTGCTCTTTCTGTACTACCAGATGACCAGTTCAGTGCACCACAGGTAGTGTTTTTTTTGTCTGGTGAGACAAAAAAGTCGCAGTGCAGACACCCTAGGCATTTTTTTTAAACAAAATACATCAATTTTTTTTTCACTGCTACTATAATAGACACATTATGGTAAGCACCATCATCTTGTTAAGACACTGGCTTTCAGGGCAAACCTGGTAACCAGGTAATGTCCTGGGAAGTAAAGGTGACTGGCATGATTTGATCACATACTATAACCTAGTATGTCTGAAGCATGCACACACATATAGAGAACAAAAGAGAGAGAGATGTTACTCATGTCATCTCTGATTATTAACTATAGTTGTACTATAATAGACAACATTATGATAAGCACCATCATCTTGCTAAGACAATTTGTGGTGAATAGCGGCACCTATTTTTTAGGGGATTAAAACCTGATTACAGGTAACCACATTTTCGATTTCCTCTTCAAAGGGCAGATGATTTTCAGAAATACCTATTTTCTTCTTCTTCTTATTCAGGAGCTGTAAACTTCGGGGGATAATTCTGGTTGTTTATCCACCTCTGGACTCTTATTCTTGTTCCAGAACCTGAGAGTTGCCTGCACAACCTTCCAAAATTTAAAGATACCCCGCCTAATTAGTCGACTCTTTTGACAAGCTTTTTGGGGAGACAATAGGTCTATTCTTGTTTTCCTTACAATGGGTCCTGGAACCCGCACGGGGAGAATACCAGTTTTAATAGCACACAAAAAACACACACAAAAAGACGCAGTAAGCACATTTTTTTTCTTGAAATGCGGGACATTTGCTACCAGACATATTTTATATAGGCCAGTTGCTACTTGATAGGTGATGTGATCAAATCGTGCCAGTCACCCTCACTTCCCAGGACTTTACCTGGTACCAGGCTTAGGCAGGTTTGCCCTGAAAGCCAGTTTCAGTGTTGACACATGTCAGCGCTAATGCAGATTCAAACCCAAGGCCGACAGGCAAGCATCAAGCCACCGCTAATGAAACATTATTGGTAGGGCATAATTTTGAATTAAAAAAACAAACCAACATTGAAATATCTTTCTTCTTCTGCTTTTTATTCTGCATTGAAGTCCTCAGCCAAATCATACCAAGCCATCTCATTTTGTTTGCCATATCCAGCAGCTATCTACATACCTTCTGTGCCCCCCTTCCCCCTTTCACACACACCCACACAAACATGCACGCTCACAAACAGAAAGAGAACAAATGAGAGAGATTACTCATGTTATCTCTAATTATCTTCCTTTCTGTTAAGCTTTTCATCTGTCCCATTTGCTCTGCAGATTGTAGTAAAAGGACATACTAGTTATAGTATATATACTACTTCTTGTTTCACTGGAATGTGTTTACTTCTCCCCCTGGCTTCACAAGAGTTATTATGTCATACTGTTTTATTCAATCTGTTCTTGGCAGGCACCAGTTAATGAATCTGTGTAGCTTATTAGGCGAATTTTTAATTGTGCTCAATGTTAGTAGTAGGTCATCATTAAATTATTTCTGAGGCCGTTTGAGTCCTTTATGTCCTTTAACAGAAATTTTTATTACATTATCAAACAGACAGACAGGTACATTTCTCTGTCTAGTACTTGTGTTGACATAGCATTTATCACTGACAAATCTAGTGGATAGTTCAGGTCTCCAGCGTTGTGCTGTGAGCCATCGCTCACATCATGTCCAGCTGGTGTTTTTCAGGTTCATATGTTTGGTAAAACAGCAAGGTAGAACCATGTTAATGCAACTAGTAATACAACCAATAAAGTTAGTTGTGCATCCTTTACAGGCTGTTGCAGAACCAGACCCAGCATTTGTCAGCTGTCGGTGGCTAAGGGGTAAGCATGCTTCAAAATGCTGGGGCGCAGAGTTTAATCTCAGCTGCATGTGATTTGGCAACAGACCGGTTTGTGTTGGTTTTAACAGGGGTATCAAGAGTCGATCATTCAGGAGGCAATGGCAAACTAGTGAATGTAAATTTGCTTAAAAAAACCACAACAGTTAAGTAGTGCTGGGGTTAGTTCTGCAACATCCTGTAAAGGAAACGCAACTTTTTGTGCTTTTGCGAGGCTGTTTTATGTTCTTTCTGAATGTTTGATGCTTCATGCCAGTCACCTGCAGAGGAATTGAATTTAGTATTTTGAAATTACGCAGTGAGTTCGTGATGCCTAGGCTACAGTTGCCAACGACATAACCAATAAATGGGAAAAATACTTGGAAGAACTATATCTTCTTCTTCTTAACATTCACCTGCTGTAAACTCCGGCAGAAAGTTCTGTTGGTCATCCACTTCTGGCTATTATTAGTCATGGTCCAGACCTTAGGTGTTGTGTGCTCATCCATTTTATAGGTCTAACTTATTTATATGAGTCTTGATTCCTCGCATCTCAGGCATATGCAGTCCAAATCTGAATGAAAGCCCCGATTAGTTGTCTCTTATGACATGGCAGTGGGTCTGTTCTAGTTTTCCCCACAAATGGGGCCCCGGAACCCACACAGGGATATCGCAGTACTTGTTGAGCGCTAATTGGTTTGTTGTAATGTGAGGCAAGCAAAAGGCCTCAAGGTTTGGACAGTGGTCCTTTACTTCTTTAACTCTTTCGGTCCCACAAGATTTTAGCTAATCTGGGAGGGAGCTACGAATTAAATTCATGGATATACTACTTAGAGAGAGGCTAAATATACACCTGCAGGAAACAACAAATGTTTTCAGAGCTTTTGAGAGTTTTTCACCAAACATAAGATGTAAAAACATACATAACATGTTGTTTGGTACACATGAATGATACCCAGTCATGCATAGTGCGTTGTTTAGGACAGAAACCAATAAATGTGTTATATAACTGAAAGATGTAAGCAGAGGACCTATTTTACCGCAGTGGCGCATCAGGCATATCATGTTTTTATATACCAGTCAGCACTTAGTGTGTGAAGTCAGCACTTGGTGGCTGAAGGGATTAACATTAGGCCAACCACCTTTACTCCCCAAGAGATTACCTTGTACCCGTCTGAGGCTGGGTCAACCTGAGAACCATGGTTGATTATGGATACAAATCTATGTCAGTGCAGATTTGTACCCTGCACATTTGGACTGGCAGGTGAAATTATAGCCACTATACCACATTGGTTCTCCTGTGTGTTGTTAAGTAATTTGTATTATTCATAGTAGTCTGTTTAAAAAAAAAAAAATCATGCTTATTTATGATGATAGCATAACAAATGTGTATGTGTGAGTGCATGCGAGTGTGTATGTGTTTTTTTACTTCAGATTTTCTTTCTGTAAGGCAAGAAATTGAAAAAATAAAAATATAAATGTTGACTGAGATTTGAGATGAGGTGAGATTTCCTAAACCACATTGTTGTATTTCTTCTTATTTATCAGATTTTAAATGTTTTATAATTGTTTCTGTTTTATTTGAGATTAAATTAATTTTAATACACATTGTTGTTTTTTCTCTTTTTTTTCTCTCCTACTGTGTGGGTTCCAGTATGCTGGGGGGTGTGGGTGGTGAATCTACTGAACCCTTAACAGTGCGCCGCCCCCTTCCCCTGCTGACTGGACATTTTGTTCTTGCTCCAGAGTTTAAATGTTGTGTGCACATCCGTTTTACAGATCTGGTTTATTTATATGCAGACTGTTGGTTCCTCGCTTCTTGTGCAAATGCAGTCTGTTTTAAAGGAAACATGCCTGATTTGTTAAAGGTACAGGTTTGAATATGCTTATTTTCAAGTTCCCCCCTTTTACATCTCCGATTCAGGGGTAGCATTTGTTGTCAGCCCTCTATGTGTGGATGTTGTTGGGGGACGGGGCGGGGGGAAGCACATTTGTGTGTGCATTATAATCAGTGGGAGACGTGTTAAGTTCATACGTGTATGCGCTGGCAGGTAACGATTACACAGAGACATTTTCCTCGTCGCTTCGCTGTTCAGAGAATGTGCGCATAGCCAGCCTCACAATAAAAATAAGTAGTTTTTACACGTTACGGTATTTTTGAAGTGGCGTAAGCAAGTAGTAAGCTCTTTTCGCTATGTTCTCTTAAAAAATTAACAAGTGTTATGTGCTGGGCGAGACACGTATTTGTAATATGGTAAACAGTAATGACACATATGTAGTAAAATAGTGCATTTTCTGATGTTGTGGAGAGTAAGCGTGCACACTTCACCACTGCATTATGTATACACCCAGATGCATTTTGAGAAGAAAAGTGGGGGGGGAGGGGTGTATAGTGTTTATGCAATGTATCAGGCTACTTTAAAAAAAATGGTGTCATCTATGGGAGATAACTCTACGGATATCTTGATGTGATATGATACTTTAGGCTAAGTAAGTGCTACCTACATCAACACTGACGAGCTATGCTGGTTGTGTGTCATGTGGGCTGTGTGATGCATAATTGTGAGGTTTTTAATAACTGGTTATCAGTGTACTTTTGTGCACTAGAGGAATGAATGTATCAAAAGTGTAACTCCTGCTAACCAGATAGCTGTTCATATATTAGGGCAGAAAGGCAGGGGATTCATGATCATTGAAACATTCTCAGTAATGTTGTTGAAAAAGAAATCGTTATCACAGCAATCAGGACATTCCCAAAAGCACAACATCCCCATCTTCAACAGCAAGCACAGAGTTCAAATTTTGATAGCACCAGTAATAGTGTGA